TGGTGCTCTCCCCTACCTTGGGGGTCTTCAAGAGGAGGCTTGACATGCACCTGGCTGGGGTTGTCTGACCCCAACGCTCTTTCCTGCCCAGGGCAGGGGGATGGACTCGATCTGGTAAGGTCCCTCCTGACCCAAACCTCTGTGAATAAATGACTATTGCCTGCTGAATCCGCCTGAGGTCCCTGTGGCCTGCTGTTCCTTTGGCTTCAGTCCAGTCCTTGTAACAACATCAAGTACCAGTCTGGGCTGTAGCGATGATAACCCTGCTTGCTTGCAGGGTTATCAGAGCTAGTGGTCCATGCTTTGTCCCTGGGAGCCCCTAGGAGCCACAGGAGAAGAGGGAGGGTTATCTCCTGTGAGCCACTGAGGATGGGAACTTACCAGATCACTCCTAGGTTCAAGCACGGGTGAGGTGTGGGAGGTCGAAGACGGGAGAAGAGATCTGAAAACCTGCTTGCCTCCATGCAGGAGGATTTGCTGGAGCAGAAGTTGTGGGCTAAGACGGCGCGGGGGTGTTGCTGGCTGCTGTGCTTAGCTAGCCAGAGGCTGCAAAGAACAAATCTTGTCAGGCACTTGTTGGCCAGCAATAATCGATGGTGGCTGCCAACAGCATGCAGTATCACCAGACTTCTCAACACCACCGAGAGGGAAACCAATGACTCAACATGACCCAGCAGCAAATTGCATCCCACCACGCCTCCACCACCAGCTGCTAGTTCTGTACTGCTCCCCCAGCCAGCTGGGAAGATGAGCTACTTCTAGCATGGCAGTGACCCCTACTGGGCAATCGGGAGAGAGACTCTAGAGCAGGAGTTCCCAAACTGTGGTACACGTACCCCTGGGGGAATGCAAGACATCTTTGTGGGGTATGCAGGAGAAATTGTGTAATGGCAGATTTAATTGTCGTTATAATAATGATGATTGGCATGTAAGGGGTTAAATATAAAATGTATGCTGCTAGGGGTATGTGGGCAGCTGGTAAATCTGGAAAAGGGTATGCAGGAAGAAAGCATTGGACCCTTTGATGTAGAGCAAGCCAGACTCTGCATCTCCCAGATGCTGCTGTGAAGAAATCCCCCTGCAGCTCCATGTGGCTGGGTTGTCCCAGATGGATCCAGCGCAGAGAAAGTAGAATCGAATCCTGGACCTGAACACCTCGGCATCAGGGCATTTGGGATCCTGAACCTGAGATCCTAGCCAGCTGAGCTTGGTTGTAGTTGTGCATGCTGCTCCCATTGGAGAGTTTACAGCAGGTGAAGCGGGATGGGTTTAACCTTTTCCCAAGGCTAACTTTGTCTTCCAGTAAGCCCAGAGCCATGAGAGTGGGCTGGGAAATTATTTCACACCTAAAGGCTGCCAGATTGAGTCGCTCACAACTTTCCAGCAGCAAAATCTTTCCTGGGGCAAGCTTTGGACAGGGCGGGAGTACCAGAGCATCCGCCTCATCCTGTTTGCACTATTTGGCTTTAAAAGAAGATGCCAAGACTCCTGCATGCTAAAGCAGACCTGGGCAGTGCATAGCCAACTGGATGAAAGGCTGTCTTTGGTGCTGGGGAGGTGATTCCTTATGTGTTGTCATGGGAAGACTTTCAAGGCAAAAGGGTATCTTAAGGAAGGTTTGGTATGAAGAGACGGGTGCTCCATGCGCAGGTGGCAGCCTGAAGAGAAGGGTGTGATGGACTAGGCATGATCTTCAGTTAGGAAGCCTGTGTTTAAATAAACTCCACAAGAACCACATGGTTTTTCTCTGAACCCGCGTGCTTACCTTGAAATTCTTCACCTGGGGGGAAGCAAGCTGGTAACAGCATTTGTAAATAACTTTTTACGCTGATAGCAGCATTTCCAAGGCATCTCCTATAACGAGGCTATTGCTTGTGCTGCCAGCAGTTGAGTCAGGTGATCCTTAAGCCAAATGTGGAGGTAA